TTGTCTATCACCATAGCTTATCTCCGATTTCAACATTGCTTTCCCTGATCTGTTCTTTTTTATATAAATCATATATACATTTCCCTGTTTCTTCAATTTCCCCCCTCATACTCCTCTTCTCCTTCTACACTATATTTTTCTTCTCTGGCTGCCTCCCTTGTTATTCTACAGTCCCCCTTGTCCTTGTATTCCAAGGAAGTTAGTATGCCAGTTCATTTAACAAACATAGACTCAATTTTCTAATTTTTATAGACTGTGTTATCACTTATTATTATGATGTGGGGATTTTCTCTTCCCAAAGTTTTAAAATTAATTATCTTGTACTTTCCCAATATCTCTGATTTTTTGCCCCCTCAACATTTTTGTTTTTACATAGAGTATTTTTACTCCATTTTGTATGCCTTCCATTTGTAGTGTACGTCATTCACAGGCATTAGTTTACCGTATTGGTGAGTTTGATTCATATGCTGATGATGATCGTCCTGTGAGTGTACTCTGCTATTTTTGTCTCCCTACTCCAGATCAATACTGTGTGATGCTGCTGGAGTGGTGGCAGTGTAGTGTTGGGGTTGTGTCCTCGGTATGTTTGACTGTAAGTAAGGGAAAACGTTTTCAAGTTTATTTTACATTTCCCTTGTATTTCTGTGCCTGTCAGAGTGTAGAAAAGGAAGCAGAAGTGTGGTTTTGCTCAAGTTTATTTAATTTCCAACTTTTTTATAGTTCTTTGATCCCTGTAGCCTGAGGTGAAGTTCATTCATCCACATGCATTTTAATGTGTACTATTACTTCAGTTCATGTAGCTAGAGAGTGGGGGGTTGTAATAAAGTTATGCCAATAGCTTTGGGGTTAGGTTAGGCAAACATATCTGATTAATGATGTGCATAGTAATTGTTACACAGCTCAGGATGGCTCTAGAACATTTATGCAGGGAGTCTCCTGAGGCCTTGTGGTGTATTTTCATTGCCTCATGTCATGAAATAAAGGTTTCTGGTATGTGTGATGAATGAGGAAAGGTTTTTGAACCAGTGAAAGAAAAATGGCAGATCAGCAATCGGAGGCAAATGCGAGAAATAATTGTGTTGTGTTGTGCCTCCTGATTACTGTTGATTTAACTATTTTTCTAATTGGTGATTTAGAGTCTTGCACTTGCAGTGCTCATCTTGCTGATAATGAAATATGGCAGGTGCTTGTTTAAAATTATGCGGTTAAATGTTTCAACATTTATTTAACTTTTTTGACGACAGAATGTTGAACTTATATGCTCTTTATTACTGGAGGGACATTGTCTTGTATGTGGAATTTTGTTCCAGCTACCATGTTCCTGAGTACATTAACACCAAAGTTTTATGTGGCTCTCACTGGAACTTCATCCCTAATCTCAGGACTCATTTTGGTAAGTTCAAGAAATATTACCATGCTGAATCACATATAACATTGATTTCTGATATATAAATTACATTCTGACTTTGTATTTTTCAGTTTTTAAAACTTTTAAGAGTTCGGCCTCACAAGCATCCAGCAGAAATTTTGCTCCTGCACGACAATGCACGCCCTCACACAAGTCTGAGAACCCGGGAAGAAATCACCAAATTGGGTTGGACGGTGCTACCCCATCCACCCTACAGTCCAGATCTGGCACCCTCCGACTTCCATCTCTTTGGGCCCCTTAAAGATGCTATCCGCGGAACAAGGTTTGAAGATGACGAGAGCGTTATTCAAGCAGTGAGGACATGGCTACGGGGACAGGACAAGAGCTGGTACCGGCAAGGCATGCATGCACTTGTTCCACGCTGGCGTAAAACCGTACAAGTTGATGGGGACTATGTGGAAAAATAGTATGTGTAAAGGAAACATTGATTTATATTGTCACTAAATTTGAGCCATCTTGAATAAATATGTTCTGAGGAAAAAAATGTGGGGCATTACTTAATGAGCGACCCTCGTAGAAACTGCTTTGATTTGTTTCAAATTATTCTATTGCTTTTAAACATGATGTGCTGTAGCCACCTGGCAGTAAACATGAAAATAGTTTACAGTATGAAGAGCATCAAGATGTTTATCTCAGAATGTCGTTATTACTAATTTATGCAGCTGTGTCTGAATGAATGATCATTGTGTATCTTTAACATTGCTCTTCTAAAATAGTAGCACATACAGAATTCATATGCCTTTTGCCACACATGTGATTAAACATATGGATTGAAAGAGAGTAAAATGAAGTGATCTACTAGTTTCATGTTGCAGTGCAGTAACAATTTGTTATATAAACTGTTGAATGAATGTAATTTTATGTGTGATTTTAGGTTTTCATTGTGGTGAGAATTCAGACTGGTCTTTGAGTTGTGAGGCAATGTAGTTTTATAGATGGTGACAGATAATGTCAAGGAACATATCTGTCTGAAGATATCGGCAGTATGTAGGATTTGAGGTTTTCAGTTTGAACTTTTGTTGTTAGCGTGATAGTGGAACATGGACTCTGTGCTTTTCAACTTCAGAACAACTGCACAGTATTCTGTGCATTTAACTTTTGTATAATAATGAGAAATAAAAATTTAGCATAATTGAAAGCTACACAAAAATCTCTTGTATAATCATAATTTGTTGGTGGATAAATCTAAAATTTTATAGATAAACTGAAATGAAAATTTTATCACGTTGGCAGTGTGTGCATATGTTGCAGTTACGACAAGTAAATACATTTGACAGCTGTTTCAGGAAGGCACTCATTCATATAAACTGTATTGGTTTATCAGAAAATAATTTATAATTAGCTTCATTCGTGAGCACTTGAAATTTTCCCTCAGTATGATTAACTGAATTAACACAAAAGCTCATGAATTAACCTTAAACTGAATGAGTTAAAATCCTAACAACATATTTATCTGAACTACTTTTTAATATTATTCTGATGTATGTGTCTGTCTTCAGAGATTTTCCAACTGACCATTTTATACAGTTGATTGTTTATAAATAAATTTATTCATTTCAGATATTTGAGTGGTGGTACTATCGCAAATATGGCACATCATTCATTGAACAGGTGTCTCTGAATCATATCAGTCCATGGATTGGAGGAGGCGATAATGGTGGGGAAGCAAATAATGTTGCAGTCAATACAAACACCACAGTCACCAGTCAGCAGGCGGTACCAGGTGAGAATCTCTATGTCATGTCTTTCATCTATCCCAGAGCTCCTGAAACATGTTCTTTTGAGATTGTCAGGTGATTGATGAGGTTCAGAATTCGGTAATAGTAATTGTAACATACTGTCATTAAAGATTTTACTGAATGTTCTTGTGCTTATGTGTACAGAGTGTGTGAGAATGATCTAATTGATTTTGATAAGGGATATCACAGTTTTTTAAAATTAGGTTTATAAATGATTATCTGTTATCTGGGGAAATTCACAGCCGTGTGCAGGTCAAGTCAGGTTTAATATTCTGACACTGCAGCAGTCACTTTTTGAATGTCTTCAATTTTCCTTACCATAAAGTTTGCTGCATACTTGAAGCCTTTATAATAGTCCCAGAAGATGAAAGTCCATCAAGGTGTAATGGTTTAGTGGTTAGTATTTCTGTGTGCATTTGAGAGATCTACAAACATCCTGGTATGCTCCGTCTTGCTATATTATCTTTAGTCTGTGTGAAGAAACTAATGAGAATGAAAAGCTTAGTCTTGAATGTGAATCACCGCCTTACTCTGTAGTTGATGTTCCAGAATGCAAAGTGTGGAGGAATCCTTTAAATCTCTTCAGAGGTGCAGAGTACCAGAGATTCTATTGGGCAACTAATAAAGAACCTTTAACATATTATGATATGAACTTGTCTGCACAGGATCATCAGACATTCTTCACATGTGAAGGCGACTGTGGCAAAGCTGAATATGAGAGTGAGTGCTAGAAAAGTCCTGCTTTTATCTAAATATTTTAGTCCACAACATGGAAACGCATTGTATAATCTGTAATGGGATTATGATTCGAATTGATTTTAACTACATATTTTGTAGTTGATTTCATCAAACTTTATTGCACTCCCATGATCTTCTGCCTCTTTATTCCCACTCCACTTCAAAACCAGGAGCCAAGTTTTGTTTGCTTTATCAGCACTAAGAAACTGTTGAAACAGGTAATGACTGTGTCCTCCCCAATACTTTCAAGTTCACTAAACACAGTCATCCTCTCACATTAAGCTTTAAAAACTCACTGCAGTCATTAAATAGCCTGTAACCCATCTGTCAAGCTATCCTTGAAAAGTTCCATGTTATATAAAAATTACTCAGTGAAAGCAATTGATTCGGTGGGAAACTCTTCTTGTTGTGGCATATCAGTACAGTTTTTTTATGCCTAGTTTCCAGGTACTGAATTTTGTTACATCCAAAACAGATTCATGATGTGAAAACAGGTCCGTCTAATACACCAGTCATATTACAACCAAACTGCAAAATGAAAATGCACTTTTGTATGATAAGAAAGGTGTTAAAACGTGAGCAATTCTTTGTTATACATTTTTATACCTTTTCTGTAATTAAACTTGTACAAATACACACATTTTATAATTGTTCTGTCTGAAAAATTGCAATGTTCCAAGGTAGAATTATGTGTTGTACTTCTAGTGATGACTTGGTCACTGTATGGATTTCAAAAACTTTTGCTAGCATTTATTACTTTAGCCTTATTTTTATTGTAGTAGGTTCTGTACATTTTTCAGTGGCTTATTGTTCCACTTTGGGACATCCTGTTACAACTTCCTCCATAGCATGTTCCTAAACAAAAAATCAGCCCATTCTCAAAGGATAACCACATGTCCCAGAAAATCTGGAATAGTCCCGTGAGTTGTGATGTATATTGTGAATACTAAAGCAGCTCTAAGATGTCTGCCTTCCAGTATTTCATGCTGTGTAGCTTGGTAGAAGTTTACAGCGTTTCGTGGGTGCTTGCTGCCTCTGAAACATCAGTAAACTTCTACCAGACTGCACGGCACAGCATCCCAGAAGACAGTCTAGGTTTGAGAATCCAAAAATTAGCTTAAATATGTATACATAGGCATTAATATCTACCTGTGTTTCCTTTCATTGGAGGATGGTATATGAGCTTCATATTCAAGTATGATATTTCAGACTGAGGTTTATTTATGATTTAACTGTGTTTGCCTTGTTGATTGATATTCAGTATGATTTTAAGATGTGTGTATGTGTTTAACATATGTACTTCTGTCAGTAATGCAGACAGCGTGGCGTGAACGTAACCCAGTAGCAAGGATTAAAGCTGCACATGATGCACTTGAAAAGAATGCTGACTGTGCTTCCGCATACATCTTGCTGGCAGAAGAAGAGGCTACGACTATTTTGGACGTTGAGAAGATTCTGAAACAGGCTGTGAGAGCAGCGGAAACAAATTATAGAAAATCACAACAGATGCAGCATCAAGGGTCTGTGATGGAAGCCTTGCACAGTAAGTTCTTGTTCACGGTGTTACTGAATTTCCAATTTCTATGGATGTTTCACACACATTTTACTAGTTAAATCCTGTTCGTCTTGACAGTGCACTATTATAAATTAGTTTTAGTATTAGTAGGAAATCAGTCTTGTTTCATTTCCTTTTTATCATTATAAATATTTACTCTGTAAGTCTGTGTGGTGGATATGTGAGTACAAAGATGGCTGTCTTCTGGGTTGTACTGTCATGTAGTCTGGTAAAGTTTTGCCAATGTTTCAGAGGTCCTTGCTCCTCCATTGCTGTGATGATGGAGGCAACAAGGACCTCTGAAATGCTGGAAAACTTTTACCAGACTATACAGCACTACAGCCCATAAGACTGCCATCTTATTTATGATTCCAGCCTGTACCTCAGAGAAAATACCTCAGTTCACCATTATACAGATCAACTGGTTAATGCTCTTTAAGGAAATAATCCCATTTTACTTTGAGTACCATTTGGAACCCATAAATACAAAATGAAGAGTTGTTGATTATTGAATCAGATGGGATGTTTAGTTACCACTGGGCTTTAAATTATTTAAAAAAAGTTCACATTGACTGACTTGCAGTCAGGATACTCATAACGAGTGTTACAGCCTCTGAAATGCCTTCATCGTTTTAAATTTAATGTGTTTTTTGTGTTTTTTTAAGGACGGGACACAAATGTCCTAATATACATTAAAAGAAGATTGGCAATGTGTGCAAGAAAACTGGGGAAGCTAAAGGAAGCAGTTAAAATATTCCGTGATGTAAGTATCTTACCTTTTTTTGGCTTGTGAGGGTTTCCAGGTTTACTGACTCTGATAAGAATACTGCATTCTGACCTCACCCAAAACTTCATTAAATTTTGGTAGACAACCACAACTTTACTTTCATTAAATGTGATTAGTATGTTATTATAAGTCTGTTGATGACACACATCTAGATGCCTTTGTCACTTCATTAGACTGTAAATTATAAAGTGGAATTCCATGAAGATGGCTGTCTTCTGGGTTGGAGACACCTAGGACCTCTGAAGCATTGGTAAACTTCTACCAGACTACATTGTGCTGCAACCAAGAAGACAGTAATCTCCATAAGAATCTCACATATTTCTGGGAATTGATAAAAAATATTGTAAATTGTAGGAAATGCAAAAATCATAAGCTTTGAACGTACATTCATTGTAACCCTTCATTGGAATGTCCTGCAAATATTTGCAAATAGGTAAATTACTTGAATCTAGGTTAAAACACAAGATTAAATATGCAATACTGTTGACAGGGTTCTTAAGTGAAGGATATTGTGATGGATGGAAAATTGAGCAAGCATCAATTAAACAAAAAATGCCTACAAAATTTGATTTGGAAATTGTAGAAAAAGACTGCTTGAGAGCCAAAAAAGGACATAGGTTTTGGTACTGTAATTCTTGTCTTTAGATTTTCACGGCTAGAAGTTCAGTGTATGACTGCAGCTCTCAGAAGTTACTTGCGTCAAGTTGCAGGTTTTCCAACATTTCAGCAAATGTGCAGTTGCAATTGTCAGAAGTTGTCAACTGCAGGGTTTGCCAAAATGGAAAACCTACAGCATTCAACACAACTCATCCCCAAAAGAGAAAGTTATACTCTGATTCTGGCACTGATTTTCAGATATATCTAAGACTTCTGTGCATTGTTAATCATTCTTCTCTTTTCATATTAAGAAACATGTTAACATATATATATATATATATATATATATACTATATATTTTTTCTTTCTTTCTTTCTTTCCTCGCTCTCTCTCTCTATGATCAGATGGGGTACATTGTACTTGAATATCCCTCATTGATTTCAAGAATGTCAGAACTGTAAGTTTAAATAAAGCCAACCTAATACTTAAACGTTTATATGTGATAAATAATAAGGAATCTAGTGAACACTTATCTTCTGTAGGTTAATGATGCACTTTTGCTCCTAGGCTTATGAAGACAGTGGCAGTATTAGGGTGATGAATTAAAAATTGATGCTGATAATGGAGATAACAGCAAAAGCTTATTTAAAGGTACTGTGTCAATATTTATGTGAAGTGAATTGAGCAGGCTCAGGGTAACATCCAGTGGCTGGTTTCATAACCAGGTGAATAATTATTTGACTTATGAAGTAGGACTCTGAATCATGAATCAAATCAGTCTGTCCATTCTGGTGTATGATTTGGAGGCTGAAAAGTATTTTTGTGAAAGCTGATCTTGGGGAAAGAATATTTGACTCTCCCTCCCTCCTCTTAAATTTGTTATACATATTACACTTCTGGGCCACATTATTCGTGCATAAGAAGCGTTTTAGCAATGTAAGAACTGTTGATTATCTTGCACAATGTTTATCAGAAAGAATATTTTGTGTTCCGTGATACTGTTAAGAATTTGTACAGAAATGTGACTTGTGTTTGTGTGATATATATTTCTTGTATTTTAGTGTTGCTTGTAACAGTTATAAGAATTATTTATGATTGTTGCATGATAGAAATCAGTTGATATTTAAAATCAAATTTGTCTAAGTATCTCATATTGATATAGGAACAGGTATGTAACTACTGCGTGGGTCCTTGATTGTTTTCCTCGCAGTCCTGCAATTGGTTGTTGGACTTTCATCCAAAGGTGTCAGGGCTGAGGGCTTTTATGGCTTTCTAGAATTCCTACAAATGAATTCTGGGATAGTAACTGAAACAGTTTCTGCATCCCTCACAATATGCCATTGCTAATTACACTAATATTTGCAGGTGATGCTCTTAAATTATTTTGATTGATGCAATATTGTTAAACAACTTTAAAAAAGCTTCCACATATTCACTAATATTCAGTTAGAAAATATCAACTTAACCATATTTATTTGTTTCATTGTTATGGTATTTTCCTGTTATCCTAGAATTTGCATAACTCTGTATGTAAAAATATTTTTAATCATGCTCAACTCTTCTCTTTCTGCTTGAATATGAAGGCATGGCTGCCATTCTTTTTAGAAGCTAATAAGTTTCTTTAACTTTTATTTCTTTCAGATGACAAAAGAACCAATAATGTATATTTTCAATATTCATGAAACTTTTCTTCCTTCCAGTTAACAAAAGAAGTTCCACCAATAATGAATGTGTTGAACATTCATGAAAATCTTATAGAAGCACTGCTTGAGATGCAAGCGTATGCTGATGCTCAGGCCGTCCTAGCAAAGTATGATGACATCAGTTTACCGAAATCAGCGACGATATGCTACACTGCAGCACTGCTAAAAGCACGTGCTGTAGCAGACAAGTAAGTAAATTTATTGCATTTTACATCATACAGTATGCATGAATAAAGTTTCTGTGAAATTAATATACATTCTATTTTTGTCTGCATTAGAAAGGCAATAAAATCGGAGCTAGGGTGATGGAGATTTCGTTTATATATCAGCTTTTCAGAGATTTCATTTGTTTTCTTAGATTAAATTTTGTACCAGAGCCTCAGTATCAGACCTTACCTACAATGAATGAGGTTTATTTTTGGACTATGCATTCATTCAGTACTGTAAGAAATTAAACAGCTATTTATTCCATCTTTTTCTTGTGAGAAATTTGACACTGTCACATTGGTGATGATGTTAATGTTGGTCTTTTGGGTTATGCTGTGCAGTCTTGTGGAAAAGACCAACCTTGAAATCCCATTCTTTCTGGCAGATTTTCTCCAGATATTGCAAGCAAAAGGGGCTTGACAACAGTGGAGATGGCTGCTGTAGAAGCAATACATAGAGCAGTTGAATTTAATCCACATGTGCCAAAGGTAAACATTTTCTCATTTTTTCCTTGCTTGTGTTGTCAACCAAACTCCTTTCTTCCTCCTCTGTATCAATATGAATGTTTTTGTGTGGTGTTCTTCCAGGGCTCATTATCTGAAGATATTCTAGGTATCAAAATTTGTATGTTATTCTCATCGTTTCTTGGGTTGAAATAAATGCATTCACATCTTCCAGAACTGACTGATTTAAACCCTTTCCCATTCTATTTAAAACAGTGTTACTGTTACTATCGGATTAGGATCTGGAATGTTGGATTTTTGGACAGAACCCTTCAGAATATATCTGGTTAAGATTTTGTGGATGTATAAATTTTAAATGAGATCTTACTATGTTTTGCTATGTTATGTGAGATATGGCCCCTTTAATTTGACTGTATTCCACTACATTATGAGCAGCAAAGCATTAATAAGCATGTATGTGTTGGTGAGTTACTGATTAGAACTTGATTGTCTCTGGGAAAACAAATTAAAAATGGAGTCCATGATATTGAAATGAATTACCTCTATTTTTATATAGAGTACAAAGATGGCTGTTTTCTGGGCTACAACACTGTTTAGTCTGGCAGAAGCTTACTGACATTTCAGAGGTCCCTGTGATAACTCTGGTGATGGACGCAGCATGGAACTCTGAAGTGCTGGTAAACGTCTACCAAACTACATGGCACTACAACACAGAAGACAGCCATCTAAGTATTTTTTAAAACTGAAATTGTCATTGTGTTAACAATTGACTACATGGATTGTTTTGCTGTTCACAGTATTTGCTGGAGATGAAACCCCTGATCCTCCCACCAGAGCATGTTCTCAAAAGAGGTGATTCAGAAGCAATAGCATATGCATTCTTCCACTTAACGCATTGGAAGCAGGTGGAAGGGGCACTGAACCTTCTGCACTGTACATGGGAGGGTACTTTCCGTATGCTGCCATACCCTCTTGAAAGAGGGCACCTCTTCTATCCATATCCAACATGTACAGAATGTGCAGACAGAGAGTTACTGCCAGGTGATGATTTACACATCTAACTTTTCTGACTATTATCCTACTACCTGCATGTGTTGCACATACAGATCAAATTGTTCCTTGGGTCTGTGCAGTAATTGCAGAACATTTGAAATTCATATTTAACTAAAATGCTTAGTTATAACTCAGGTTTATTTTAAGGTTGCTGTGTCATGAAGGACTTGTGTAATGCTGCGAAATAAACAGACACTTCAGATACCCTGGTGTTCGATTTCTTATTTAACATAGTTTTTGCTAAAATTTTGGACATTATCCATCATCTGTTGTTTCTCATAACACAATGTTTCAGGGACTGGATCTGTCTCTGACATCAGGTAAAATAAGGGACCTTTTTGACCCATTATTTCACCTGATAATGGAGAGGATGTTTTTTATTCATTTTCCTCCTCTCTGTATATGACTTTTTTCTGCAACAGCTTTCCATGAAGTGAGCGTTTACCCAAAGAAGGAGTTACCATTCTTCATCCTATTTACTGCAGGTCTGTGTTGCTTCACTGCTTTGTTGGCTCTGCTGACCCACCAATACCCAGAGTCCATGGGTATGGTAGCGAAGACAGTAAGTATTTTAGTACAGTAAATCTGTTGAGTGATACTTATATGTGAAAACTATAATGACATTAATTAATTTTTCACTTGGAGTTTTGAGTGATTATAAACATTATAATTACAACTTTAAAATGTATAAGGAATTTCTAGTAAGAAAAAAATAGCCAGGTTATTGATTGTATTAAGATACCAGTTGTGGATTTAACTTCCTGTTTTGTCAACAAAGTCTTACATAGAATTTACATTTGCTCAGAATATACCTCACCAACAACTGAGTGAAGTGGAGGAGTTTTATATCAGCCCTATGTTCCCAAGAGGAATAAAAATAATTAACTAACTAACTAACAGAATATACCTGCACATATTTTTCTGCACCAGTTTGGAATGTTATTCATTTTAGTATGTACATTGAAATGTTAGTGAAAGAGGAGAATGTTAATTGAAGTTTTCAGATTTACACATGTGAAGATGATTATGGCCTTCTAGGTTGTGACACTGTGTTGTCCATCGTCAGGGTGATGGAGGCAATACATTCCTCTGTAACTTTGGTAACCTAACCTACAAAACCAGTCGGCATAACCACCCAGACCATGATCAACGTCTTGTAATTTACCATTACAGTGCTGCCTTAGTTTTGTAATCATTCCGATGATACTGTGCAAAACTTTTGCAGCCACACTGTTCATTACTGCTTGCAGATGTTGAGCTGGGTTTCTCTTCCATTCTACTACCTGCTGGATAAACTGGAAGCAGTACTCCCATCAAATTTGCTACAACTGTTGTCCAGGATATGAATTTAAATATATTGAATAAAATGTGAAGAATTCTTCATTTATGTTTGTCAGAAAGAAAGGTATGGTAGAAATAAAAACTGCGTATTTAAGATGCAAAAGAATGGTGAATGTTGAGGAGTCACTCCTGATAATATCTTCCTCTGAACTGTCAGTAGTATTACTGTGCAATTCATACAAAGTATGTATGGTAAACCTTGCCAATAGTGAATGGCAATCCGCATTCTTGCACAGGTTTTAGTGCAAGAAATCTTGTTGTGCTGTGACTACCATGTACTTTTGGTTAATGTACTTAGTGTTTATAAGTGAGGTTTTTGAAATTTAGTCTACGATTTGACTAGACTATAATTTGTATTATTATTTGGTTAGGGAGAACAGTTGCATGTTGAGACCTTATTTATTTTATAGTTTCTTCAGTAATTACAAATGATACCTTTATTTTTCTCCTAGTTTTCTAGTAGAGTGTTTTAAGTCATCACAGATGACACTAATGAAATATAAAGTCATTTATATCAGCCAAAAAATGTTGTACTAAATAGATTAATAAATACATAAATTTATGATTTTATATGCCATCTTCCAGGTTGTGCATCCATGAACCAGGGTGAAACTTTCACCCAGAAGCTCAGTACTGTTTTAATTATCTGTGTGGCAGTTTGCTGCTTGTATAAAAGTATGAATTCTGTTTTGTAGTTTAAAAACTATGATGATAAAATGTTTCCCGTGAATGTGGGGAAAATTCTTTTGTCAGAATTGTTGAAAACAAAACAGTGTGTCTGGATGAAAAATATTGTCATTGACCAACTGGGAAAACGAATTTTGGATTGTACTAAGAAGTGCAACTATTTAGTATTAACAGCATCTGTAACAGGCACTTAATAAAGCTTTTTTGTAATTTATATGTGCTGTTTCATTAACCCTTTGAAGTCAAAGCTTGTCTCAATAATACTTGAGAATCCAGTCTGTACCACAAATAAAACACTTTCCCATCGGAAGGATTAGCTGGTTAATGCTATTTAAGGAAATATTGCTGTTTATGATCAGAACCATACAAAACTGATAAATACAGAATGAAGAGATTGATTGCTGAAGCATGAATGTGCTGTTGCACTGCTTGAAGGTGTTGCAACCTACTCGCAAGTATGAGTTCTCTCATATACTAGTACAAAGAAGTTTTACCAGCCAACAAGGTAAGTCTTCATTAGAAATTGGATGAGATAAACTTATGAGTTACAACTTTTGTCCATGTTTGTGTAAATAATTACATTAAATTTGAAATATGAATAGAAACACTTTTGGCAGAAATGTATATTGTTGCATTTGGAATGCTACCAAAAATTAATATTGCTATGTTATAGTTCATTTAGTAGGATTTTTATTTATCTTATTCATACGTTGGGGGGTGTTGAGAACAATGTGATGAGAATATTTGGACCTATGAGGAGGAAATACAGTAACAGGACTGGAGGAGAGAGTTGTAATTTTTACTTTTCTTCCGGTATTCTAGTAGTGATTAAATCAAAGATGAGTGGTGGGATTAGCAAAGAAATGCGAACATTTTACTCAGGAAACCGAATGGGAAGAGCCCATATGCGAACATTTTACTCAGGAAACCGAAGACCTGGACATAGGCGGAAGAATAATATTAAAATGCATTTTCACATAAATAGGTTATAACAGCTGACTCGATTTAATTGACTCAGGATTGCATCCAGATCCGGCAATAAAGTTTTTAGTTATATTATTTATGTATCCCTGCTCCTCTAATTGCAGTAGTATACGCTTACACGGAGGTTACTCACACGCACAGACATTTAAATAAATCCTCGCATCCTACTGCAGTAATACGAAATTGATAAATAATGCTACTTGACCGGCATTTTGACTTCTTGATGTATTTACATTATTTCGTCAGTGATTGTAGTATTATCTGTGGTGATAATTGTCTGGATTTCTTACCAACCAATGTCTCTTACATGTAATGCGTACTCTTGTACTTCATATGACCGCTACACGAGGTGATCTGTGGCTGAGAGGTCGACAAGGACTGAAAGACGTTAAATAATGGGAGGCAAACTTTCAGCTTTAGATCCCATGCAGGTTGAAGTTCCAGAATTGAAGGCACTTTTGGACCGTGATCCTTATTTAAGGCCTTACGAAAGAGAGTTTCGACGACGGTAAGTTTATGAAAATGGTATGTTTAAACCTAATTATTTCTTTCAATGAGAGAATGTTGTTCCTACTTCGTATTTGGTAACAGCTTTAAACTGATATTTCATAATAGTAACATACTGTTATTGATGGGTAACAGTTGCTATTTAGTACTTTCTGATGTACGTCCCAGTTTCGCCTGACAATTTAACTTTGCCCCCTTTTGTGTGAGAATGGTTTTAAGGTCACAGTCTTCACCAGTTGACCTAACTGATGATGATGATGATGATGATGATGATGTGTGATTTTATTTGATAACAGAAGCACAGCCAATTTCTGAAATGTCATGTGTTCTTAAAATTCTGTGTTTTTTTAAAGATGTAGGAAAATATCCAGTGTCTAAATGTAATGATACACCTTTGTCAAAACCTTTAGACACCTCAGTCATGTTTAAAATCATTAATATCTGATGCCGTCCAGCAAGTATCACCAATGTGTAAACCATATATGAAGCAAAGAAATTATTTTGATTAAAATCATTAATATCTGATGCCGTCCGGCAAGTATCACCAATGTGTAAACCATACATGAAGCAAAGAAATTATTTTGTCTTGTCATTCACACTTTATCCTTATGGGTATGTGTGCCAACCATGAAGAAAATATATCTTGGTTTTACTTGAAGCCGTGCGGTTGCCAATCTTAGAGAAAATCAAGTACATCTAAATGTGTAACTTTGTTTTTGGTTTGTCTGAAATTTATTATGCAATCACTCATTTTAGAGAATAGACAGAATTTTTTTCCATAATTTTGTTTTACAGTAACACTTATTTTTAAACAGCTTTGAAAATATCATGGTCATGAATATAATGTTTGGAATTCCTTCTGATCTGCAGCTATGCCTGTTTCCAAGATTATGTAGACAAGGTTAATGAGTATGAAGGTGGAATGGATAACTTTACCCAGGGTTACAAGTGCTTTGGAATCCATGTAAATACTGACAACTCAGTGACTGCGAGAGAGTGGGCTCCTGGTGCAGTGCAGGTGTATCTGACAGGAGAATTTAGTATGTTCCTTCAATTGTCTGTAAGACTATCTTATTTGGTTCACTCTGGTTCTTAAACTATTTGAAATTTCACTTGTCTTTTACCACATCTGCCTAGTGAAGGGTATTTTACTTTACTAATTTTTTGGGCCAGGACAACAGTTTCTGTATTCTGCCAGTTGATGGATTACTATCCAGTTTGATATTGTTAAAACTTGGAATATGTTGAGTGTGAATGAGCATCTTAGGTGCTTACTTCTGGTGACTTTGGTAAAAGTAACAATAAGGATATTTGTCAAGATAAAATATCAGTGAAAGAATTGTAATATTGTGGAAAGATGGTTTGAAATAAGTAAATACATAAATATAAAAAAAACTACTGTTTTGGGCATTACCTGTTGTCTTAGGTTCTTTTTATCATAATGTCTTAGAAACTGGATCTATTTTGTTATGATAATATATCATCATCAGAAACATTTAGATTTAACTAAATTTGTAATTGACATTCATATTTATTCAGGAGTGAATGTGTCATTGTAGATTAAAAGTGACTTTATGTATGAAGTGTTCTGACGAGCTGGATATAGAGGACCGCTCTTATTGTAGATTACTTGGAAGGTTGGAATTGAGTACTTCTCTCATCACAATTTTTATTATTGCATTACAAATCACACAAAACCTGCAACACAGTACTACATTATTTTGTCAATGTTTTGAAGGAAAGGTGCCTAAAATTATCAAATCTTACATCATAATTTTAAGGCAGTAAGTATTCAGTAAGAATTCACACCTAGTTGAAATCATTAGTTACATATTTTATTGATATGAATGTACATGGGGAAATGCTCTTGTCTGTTGTATAGGGAAATTTTTTAGAAGAAGTCATTAAATGCATTAAATGTCGATTTAGAAACACCTTTCTAAATATTGTCACATGTGAAAGAGGTAAGAAGTATCTGTTACGTTGAGATAAGATAGCTTTGGGTAATTATACCTGGTTTCTACTCTTCATTCCTTCTAAGACTATCATGACAAGTTTTATTTTATTCTTTCCATCATTGATACCTTTGCCAGCCCCTGTGGACACCCCCAGTTCCATTTTGTTAGGTCCTATAAAGTGGAAGAAATATATATTAACATTTATTTTGCTTGATTTTATTATAACGTGCATAAGTTATTGGAATCTTCTACAGATCCAGTATAAATATTGACAGCAACTTTGTGGCAGGACAGCACTAACTGTAAGCAGGATATTGAAACCAAAATATGAGCGTCAAAAGTGCAATAGCTGATGATGATCTAGGTTTTACACTGTACAGGCTTGTCAGATGATGCTGATGAATGTATATGGTGCCAAAACCCACAAGATTATCATCATCACCCTCACTGCCATGAAAACTTCAAATCCCAATACAGTAGCTGCTCTTGGTGTTGTCTTCTGTGTCATTATTTACAAATGTCTTTTGTAGTTTAGGCATTGGATGAATGGTATATGTCTCCAGAAGAAACTGCACAACTTATTTGGACCATATGTTTTCAAGTAACTAAATATTTAGGTTATGAGTATAAGAATTAGACCTTAACTACGTTAAATATCCTTGTGTTCGTTGTGTATTAGTTTAGATACTTTAAACCATTTTATTCTCTCTCTGCGTTTCTCTGGTGTTATTATGACTTCTAGCCAGTAGGAATTTGTCACCTTTTATCTGAGATGGCCATGGATTTAACTATTCTTTCAAACAATGGTATCAAGGTGTCCTTTCCTATAAGACTTTTTTTACAAGTGCTTTTTGTGTCTGGAAATTTCAGATTGTTGCTGATAACCTAATTGAAAGAGAATGTATCTGTGAAAAAGACATTTGTACTTTGTTGTGGATCTGAGACTAGTATAGAGATATAGCGTTGCATTTCTGTAAATTTAAACTCACTTCTTTGGGCTGATGGTTAAAATGGGGGGGAAGGGAAAAAAAAAGAAAGAAAGAAAAGAGGTGGGGTTTAGTGTGGAAACCAATAACAATTAAATTTAATCCAAAATGTGTGTCCTCAAATTGATGAGGGGAGGGGCAGAAGCAGAAGGTGCAATGCATATGGAATTGTGTGATTCCATTTTGTAGATGGATGGAATAGGGAAGGACATCCCTACAAAAAGTTGGAATATGGCAAATGGGAATTACAAATTCCAGCAAATCCTGATGGTTCCTGCCCAATTGCCCATAGGTCTGAAGTCAAGGTAATAATCAAGAATGAATGATTCACAAAATTCTTTTCTTCAAAGTTATTGAATAATAATAACATGTTGATTACAAACATACAATAATTAAAACAAAATAAAATGGAACATTAAATAACAGCTTGGCAAGTGCTGAAGTTTCAACAACTTCTTTAGTTATGGATTTAAATAATGTTATACAAAATGGTAATGTTTATATAATGAACTCCATGGAGCAGAAGACTTCTTAAGAAACTAATAATGAATTAGCTATTCAAGAAATTCCCCCCACCTCTTATGGAACTGGAAGATACAGTACCATGTTCATAAGAGCCTGCCACTGGTCCCTCTCCTAGGCCAGATGAATCTGGTCTTTATCCTATTTTGTTATTGTTAATTTTAATATTATCCTCCTATTTATGCCTAGTTCTTCCAAATGGCCTCATCCCTTGTCTCTTGAAGACTGTTTGGAGCATGGCTCCTGGTGTTATGGAAATTAACAGTTGATAAATACTCTTATATCTGTCAGCCAAATTTTGTTTACACTTTACTTTCAAAGCTGAAGTCCAAGACATTTTGTACATTCCATAAACTGATTAAATTACACAGTAATCTGTTAATAGGTCAGATTTACATTTGTAAATGTAATATACTATAGGTTCCTGTTTTCATATGTTCAGGTAGTGATACGTACAAAGAATGGGGAGCTGGTGGATCGCCTCTCTCCGTGGGCTGACTATGTATTGCAGCCTCCTAGAGTCGAGGGCTTCACATTCAAACAGAGGTTCTGGAACCCCCCTTCGCGTGAGGTTAGTCCCGGTGACTCATAATTTGAAGGATGTGCGTGAAGCGTGGAATTTATCCACCGAGGTGACTTTTATTTTTGTCTTCCAGAAATATCAATTTAAGCATGACAGAGCAAAGAAGCCACTGAGTCTCCGCATCTATGAATGTCATGTAGGAATTGCAACAGAAGAGCTGAAAGTTGGGACTTACAAGGAATTTGGATCAAAAATCATCCCAAGGATAGTAAAGCAAGGTGAGACTTCAACATGTTCCAATTTTACATATTTCCTTTATAATTATTTTTAAAGTAAAACGTGTTTTTTTATACTGCGATAAAGCAGACAGCAAGAGCAAATCAGAAATAAATACCTTATTTAATTTTCCTGCTGCTTAACTAAGCATGAGATAATGCAGATGTGTGGTGAGTCAGGTATAGCTTCATGCATTGTTAACTTCATTGTTACATGCAGGTGAGTGGTTAGCTTTTTGCTCCAGCTGCTTTGTCCTTCAGGAACTTGAGCAATTCAAGTGTTGGAACTGAAATTTCATAGACACGTGGAATAAGGGCTTTCTTCAAAATTATTAATGAATGATTTTGTTTCATTAAATGTCATCCAGGCAATAATCTCGGAATATGAATAATAAAATGAGTAATAATGCTGTATCACCTTGTTCTATGGGGTCTTAACTCATAATATCCAGGATCTAATCCAAAGGAAAGTTAATTGTCTGTGATACTGTCAGCAAGTTTTATCTGTAATTTTCTCGTGTTACAGGAATAGTGGTGCTACTTCAATTCTGACGATACAGCTGAATTAGAAGTGCACTTGTAATTGTAATCATTACTTTGCTATTCAGCTTAAATTTGCACCACGTTTTCAGAAGAATGGTTATCATAGTTGATCATAGGTTTTCTAAATTAATTGCATTGTAACTGTTTCATCATTTTATTCATTTGTTCCCAGGCTACAATGCCATTCAGTTGATGGCAATAATGGAACATGCTTATTATGCCAGTTTTGGTTACCAGGTAACCAGCTTCTATGCTGCTTCCAGGTAAGCATGTATTTCTTAATGTTCACATAGACGAAAAACGCGAAATTATCGAGAAAGAACGACGAGGACTAGAGCAAGTGCTCCGAAAGAGCGCGTTGCTCTAGTCTTATACTAAAACAGGTTGTCTGGTCATTGAAGTAAACACGGTATGATGATGGGAACAGTGTATATGTGTATTTGTGATTGTTATCAATCATATTTATATGAGGTGTTGGATTCTTTCATTGCAGAATCTATCTGGTAAATTTAGTTGTTACTTTGCTGCTGGCATTACGAAGAAATGTGTGGAGTGCGATAATTTTAAAATGACTGTTGTATCGTTGATTTAACAGTTGGTTATGTGTATGAAATTCTATCTTGCAAGGTCTTGATATACAACGTTTCAGATATATAGAATTTTCAGGCACTAAAATAATTTGATATAAAGCAATAGGTAATTAGTAGAATTCAATCTGGTTATTTAAGATGACATAAGTTTGAAGAGTGTAATTCCAAAAGTTGCTCAATCCATTAATGGAGTTTTTTGAAAATAGACTTCTTGGAAGCAGAATTTAGTAAGGACTGCATTTGGATGGAAAACATGAAAACAGACTGAGCAAGTTTCAGAACGAGACTTCTGTTGTATGTAGATTTAATACTGAATGATGAGGATTTTAGGGTAACAGCCTCTGCAACTTACTGAAGTAGAAAAGAAAATATTAGGATGGGAGATATAACAGTGTATTTGTATATGACATGAGAAACAGTAATCATGTTAACAGTTTCCATGCTACAAATTGGATTAATCACTTTAAAACAGATCCTTTACAAACGTCTTTGTGTGTGGCATTATGAATAAAGAGAAAACAAACTTTGCAGCATTTTTCAAACTGAATTTATAAACTACCATAAAAATTATATGAAAGAAATCTTTCTCCAGAAAATTTTTGCATGGAAAGGGTTAACTTATATGGTCAAAGTAATGTAACAGAAAGTGTTATTTGTTTGTACAGTCGCTATGGAACTCCTGAAGAACTGAAGGAGCTGATTGACATCGCGCATGCCCATGATCTGTACGTGCTGCTTGATGTGGTTCACTCACATGCCTCCAAAAATGTCCTTGATGGCCTAAACCAGTTTGATGGAACAAACAGTTGTTTCTTCCACGATGGCCCCAGAGGTGAACACTGTCTCTGGGGCAGTCGCCTCTTCAACTACTCTGAGTCAGTATTGTTATATTATTTAACCATAAGTGATTGAGAAAGCTGGGTACTTTTAGTCTGACAGTTACATTTAACGTTATGCATTATGCATCCATTTAAACAATACCATTAATCTGGTACTAGACTCTGTCAAAAATGGAGATTTTTTTAATAAAAGACTGTTAATTTACAAATAGAGATTTTATTGTATGTGAATTTGTGTGTTTGTTTATTAACATTTATTGAAATTGCACCCCTTATATGCTGCAACCATATACTGCATATATTCTGTGAACAAAATGTATATTAACTCTTTATTGTCTAACTTTTTAAATAATATTAAAATATCTTTTTAATTTATATTCTCTTATGGTATAGTAGTTTATGCTTCAAAAGAATGAGCAAAAGGAAGTAAATTGCAGTCATTTTATACACACACACATATTTATATATCGTATGTCCATACAGTAAATGTTTATACTCGTACTAGATGGGATTTAAGTGGTCGTCTTTGAGTGCCATTATGTACAGAATAAAAGTACCTAGAGACTAGACTCTGGAACCGATGTTGATATCGAAAAGGAACTCATGCTAGTAGAATTTGTTCATTATCTTACTGATGGAACCATCACAGATATTATGGGATGTTGTGCCATAGTCTGGCAGAAATTAACTGACATTTCAGAGGTATTTACTGAGATTACTCTGACGATAGAGGCAGTAAGCACTCTGAAATGTTGTTTAGTTCCTACCAGACTGCACAGTGCAATGCCTTCATACTTGTCACATCGAGAACCTGAAATTGGAACCATTACAGTATTGCAGTTTTAAAAGGGAAGTGTATATAATATTAAGTTAACCTGTATTTAAATTTGTTTTTCAGGTATGAAGTGTTGAGATTTCTGCTGTCCAATCTCCGATGGTACTGTGAAGAGTACCGTTTTGATGGCTTCAGGTAATTGGATGTGTTCATGTACTGACGAGGGATTAACTCAGGATACCAAACATGATTTTACTTGTATTTATGTCTCAGATGTGTCCGCTTTGAATGTTTATGTAATCCCAGTATAATGATCAGAGCAAGAAATGGAAGTTATGTTAGAAACATAAAAATTTTTTTGACACTTATACAGAGTGGAGTCTCAATAGCATCAATAGCATAGTTCTAAAACGTTAGTGTTGTTTTCCCCTTACGTATATAGCTGACATGAGAAAGCCTCCCCCCCAAATTATAGCATTAGCTTACTTGTAATATAGTTGTCTCTATTGGCAGGTTTGATGGTGTCACATCTATGTTATATCATTCCCGTGGAATTGGTGAAGGTTTCGGTGGCCATTATGATGAGTACTTTGGTTTGAATGTTGACACCGAGGCACTGGTGTACTTGATGGTGGCTAACCACATGCTTCATGAGTTATATCCAGATGTCATTACCATTGCTGAGGTGAGATATACATGGTAGAATCACTGTAGGTATTATAGAGAAACAAAATTGATCAATTTGACTGTGTGTTACTCGAGTTATAGGTTATTTAATATTACAATACCATATAATATCTTTGATTTGAAGTTTTTTTGGCAGTGAGAGTTCAGATTATGGTCTTCCTGGTTGTGACACTATGTATCTTGTAGGTGAATACCAACATTTTGGAGGATTATATTGCCTTCAAAAGATTTTGATCTACCTAGCAGTCCACGTGGCATTATAACCCATAAACCGAACATATGCATTATGACTGACACCCTACATTTTACATGTTTTGTTGAATGCAGTATTGACAGGCTGATAAAAGTGTTGTGAGAAAGGTACTAATCTTACCGTGTTTCTTGTCCCACATTCATTTCACTGACACTTGTATCTATTCTATTTATAAATATAATATAATAACACATATATGTACTGCATGTAAGGTAATTTTCAGATTAGATATCATAAAATGTAATGTCTTAAATTGGCCATGTCCTACTTCAGGCGCTTAGTAGCTGGCTTTTCACTGCTACAGCTTGGGTTCAGACCCAGGTCAGTACAGGTGGATTTGTGGTGGACGGACTGGCACTTTGACATGGTACCTGCAAAGTTTGTTTTTTCCTGTCAGTATATTCCACTGCTGTTCCATATTTATTCATGTATTGTCTAGGGCCCAGTAGTGGCTGCAGTTTCACTGAGACAGTCTCTCTTCCACTGCACCAATAATATCAGTCTCTGAAATTGTCTTTTTTATGGTATATCTTTCAGGATGTGTCTGGTATGCCAGGAATGTGCCGCCCTGTGTCAGAGGGAGGACTTGGGTTTGATTATCGACTTGGTATGGCAATTCCAGATAATTGGATAAAACTTCTGAAGGAAGTAAAAGATGATGATTGGAATATTGGCAATATTGTTCATGCTCTCACAAATCGACGGTGGCAGGAGAAGACTGTTGCTTATGCAGAGTCACATGACCAGGTATTTAGATCTAAGTGTTCACTTGTGCAAATATTATAAGAACAGTTTCAATGAAAATGCTTGATTGGCCAGAGTGATTGTTTGTACTGATCTGTTTTTTAAAAGGTGGACGTTGCAAAATGAAATTAACCAGACAGTTTCAGATTTAATCTCACTTGTATGTGTGTGAGTGAGTGAGTGAGCGAGCATACATTAACTACACTTCAATTTATGTACTTGTTATTATTTTTTACATAATACACAAATGAAATGAACGCTTGGAAACAGAAATAAGTCTTCATATTTAATTATTTTAGTCACCCTCTTTTAAACCTCCTTGATTGGGATAAAACACAAAATTATGACTTTGATATTGTTTGTAGGTACATGGTTTATGAATAAACAGTTGAAATAGTCTTGCACTGACTTATTATAATTAAATATTTGTGCTTAAAGTTTACCTAGACTTGCATTCATGAGGTTCCCAGTTGGAACCTCAGCTCATTTGCCAGCTATTCTGATTCATTTTCTGATCTCGTTGATGCTAAATAACCTCGGCAGTTGAAACATCGTGTTTAAAGAACGTATGAATCAGTCATTTATATCCTTCCACCATGATGTGATGGTGTATAACCTCAGTAAATAACTTTAGGTGTTTTAATTTTAATTTGTCTTTAACACTATTTGTATGTTGTTCAAGGCCTTGGTTGGTGACAAGACAATTGCATTTTGGCTAATGGACAAAGAGATGTACACACACATGTCAACAGCTTCTGAGCCATCGGCAGTCATTGATCGAGGATTAGCACTGCACAAGATGATAAGGCTGATCACACATGGATTGGGAGGGGAGGCATACCTCAATTTTATGGGTAAGTAAGGGCCACCATTAACTGATACTGAAGCAGTGGGAGCTTTTCCACTTACTGATGCAAGGTAAAGAGCCTGGATGTGCTGGGGGGATATGGTTCCTACTCATTCTTGGCCTTGGCACTAGATGGAGGTTAGTGGTCAGTACCACACCCTGGCTGAGCTTTGTGTCTGGGGAAAGGACCACCCTGGTATACATTGGATAGGAGACTTGGTGGGCTCCAGAACTGGTCTGGAGACTAGAAGGAAAATCCATTTTCCCTTCTAGGGATCAGACCCTGGTTATCCAATCTGTTGTCAGGCACTATACTGACTGAGGTATGCCAACTCATGTATCAGATTACTGTTATGCTGAATTAAGCAGAGGGATCTTGTGCGTTGCCATTAACAAGTGCGTCTGGTGGAATATGAAAAAAGGTCAGCCAGATTGCATTAGGATAGATACATACACTCAATGTGCATTGTCCTATGAAGCTGGGTTTCACTTTATGGCAATGTTCTACGTAAGCGATAACAAGCGAGCTACCCGAGCTGCATAAGCAGCATGGGGTGTCATATGAAGCGGGGAATTGCTTGTTGTGTCCTATGTGAGAGACCGCAATAGAAGCACACAGCCTTCCTGCGCATGCACCTACCCTGTATTGCACAGTCAGAGCTTTCTTGCGAATGCTTACTGGCCAGCGCAGCAACTGACGCGAAAATATCAAAATATTTGATCTCGGACTTTGGCCACTTCCCTCTCCTGACCGCTTTGCTGGAACCTAGGACAGCGCCACACAAACAGCCAGTTTGATATTTCCCCTTTACCAACGCAACTCGCACCGCTCGCATTTAATCGCTCACATAGGACAGCAGGTAAACGTCAGCCTAAAGTTTTTGTGTTGATCAGCATTAATGCCCACACTTCCATCAACTTGAATTCATATGACTGAACATCTGAAGAGAGACAGTTCTAAAGGTAGAGCTTTTGCTCTGTAAAGTAAGTACCAGCTTGTGTAATAAAGTGAAATATTTGTTATTTTAAAGTTTTACTGTAGAACATGAATTATCTTGATATACTGCTATGAGCTACGTATCTTCTTTCATATTCTGTTAGTATTACCACTTAACTGTCTTACATGTGTTGTACAGGTAAGGTGTTGATTTTAAAGGTATGAATAGTGCTCTTAAGTGTTTGAGCATTTAATATCATGGAATATTTGCTTGAACTGATGAGCCGGGATAGCTCAGTCAGTATAGTGACTAGCTACTGGCTGGACGACCAGGGTGCAGACCGGCTCTGGGGCCCAGCCAGCCTCCTCTACAATGGGTACCGGGGTCCTTTCCCGGGGGTAAAGCCGGCCAGGGCGTGATGCTGACCACTCACCCCCATCTGGTGCCGAGGTCAAGAAAGAGAGGAGCTATACCTCCACTCACCCCAAGCGCCTTTACGGCACGTAGCGGGACAAACTTTACTTTATTTGCTTGAACTGTAACAGCTATAAAGTAATACAACTTCCAGAATATTTTCAGGCAATGAGTTCGGACATCCTGAATGGCTTGACTTTCCACGGGCCGGAAACAATGACTCATACCATTATGCACGTCGTCAGTGGCATCTGGTGGATGATGACGTGCTGAGGTATAAGTTTCTGAATGCATTTGATGCTGACATGAATGGTCTGGAGGAACGCCACGGGTGGCTGCACAAAGATTCGGTAATTAATAATTAACTGCGTTTGCAAGAAGATGATACTTACTGCATGAGATTTACAAAGTGTGGCATAAAAGAAATGGGACTTATTTTTTCACCTAACAGGTAGCCCCACTAGTTAAATGGCATGTGTTAGAATATGCGACTGGTCATTTTATTTTGCAATAGCTGTAAGTGTCTGTTGAAGCACTGTTTGCATTGTTTTGAGCCTTTGTTAGTAATTGATTAATGCATTTTTAAAACACAGAATGAGCATTGAGTTTTCATGAAAATGGCAAAGAATCCACAGACATTTACAAAGCACTCTTACATGCTTATGTGGATGAACTGTGCAGAGCTTATTTTCTTGTGTGGGATTAAATGTTTTTCAAGTGAGGAGGGAAGACAAACCATTAAAATTAAAGGTAATGAATGATGACTGATATGGCCAACAACTTCAAGGACTGATTCAGGTGTGAAAAATATTGCTTGTGTTATGTGTAACGATTGATTATGTATTTGGACATCAGCAGATGAACTAAATATGAATAGGTAAATTGTAAATTATGTTTCTCCAACATCATAAATGATGTCATTCTGTGATGATGGAAACAGAGAAAGTCTTTGAAACATTGTACTTCTGCCTTAAATTCATACACCTGTTTGCCAAAGAGGATTCTGTCACTGATGTATAATTATTAATTTGGGATTGGCCAAATATGTGATGACATTTAATTGTTTTTAGGGGTATGTAAGCTGGAAACATGAGGCTGATAAAGTTGTGGCTTTTGAACGAGCAGAGCTTCTGTTTGTCTTCAACTTTCATCCGACCCAGAGTTTCCCTGATTATCGCATAGGAGTGGAGGTGCCTGGAGAATACAGGGTAGTCCTCGATACAGATTTTGAAAAATATGGAGGCTTCTATCGAGTGGATTCAAATGTTCCACATTTCACTTATCCTGAAGAGTTTGCTGGTAGAAGGAATTCAATCAAGGTAAAAAGGAAGTCATATCATTGTATCTTTTTGGTTTTATTTTACGTGCTTTATTCTGTTGTGTTTGAGGTTAGGAATTGAAAATGTAACTTCCGTATTACTGGATATGTGAGACTCCCATGTATGAGTATTCTTAATTTTTTTAAATGCTATCTTTGTATTCACTAGTTTTGATTAATAGAAAGTGTTGGTCATTAAAATTTCCCCTCCATTCTTTATTCATTATCAGACCCATAACGTTAATGCCAGAAGATACATGAATTCCATCTTAATATTGTCTTAGCAATATTTTATATACAGCAAGATAACAATTTATGAAAAAATTTTCAGCTGTACTTGCCATCACGCACAGCACAAGTGTATGAGCGAGTTTAGTTCCTGCAGGCGTGTGATTGTATACATTTGTCAGTAGTTCGGAACTTCTCTACATTCTGCGGCATCTGTATGATTGTAATAGAACCACTTTCTCATTTCAAGGTAAGTGAAAGTCAGCACTCACGTAGTAAAATTTATGTATATTTGAGACTGGATTTGAAGTTATCTGATTAACCCTTTAAAGATCAGTGTTAACTATATGTAGAATATATAGTTAAAGACTGTAATCTTGCGACTTGCGGGGTGAGGAGGAAAGACGGCGTCTGCCTTTAATGCTACGGACTTCCTGCCTTCCTTGCAAGTCTCAAGATTGCAGTCGTACACTGTACTTTGATAACCAATAACTCAGAATTTTTCCACTGAGATTGATGTGATTATCATAGTAAACCATTTATTACCCTAAACAGCTGTAACATAGCAATCTTTGTATTGGAGAAGCATTGTGTTTTGTTTGAAATGAGACAATTTTTAAATATCCTTAAGATGTGCTTCATCTTCAAAGGGTTAATTGGATATACATCTTGATGCTTGTTTCCTACGTGATGTAACAAGATTGCTGTAAATTGTGTATTCATATGAATTCCGTGGATGAAAGAAGGATTGGCTTTCTTTTACTTTTCTGGAGAACCTACGCTGTAAAGGGTTAACTGCGCAGCTGGTGACTGCAACCCACATACCAAAGTATATTCATTATGCTGCATAATGAGTTGTCATACGTTCTGGAATGATTGACCTTCCGAACTAGTTTAAAATTATTCAAACATGCAAATTCACATATACAATTGAATTGATTCTGACTTGATTTTGTGTTTCAGTGTTCTCTTATTCTGGGCTTCTCATATACCAATGCCAAAATTAAGTTATGTACTGTAACGGAAGACAAGTAAATAAGTTCCTACAAAATTAAGTTTTACTTGTTATATTTTGTTTTGTCCTCAGATTGAGTCTGTAAAATTAATATAGTTTTCCCAAAGGGAATGTGGAAGTTATTGAAAGCAATAGAACATAAAAATATTTACGCTTGTCTCATACTAGTTTTATAAAGTTCCAGAGAAAGTCACTCCTTACTATAAAAGTACAAATACAACACAAAATTCAATTACATAGCCAAAAGAGTAAAACTCAAAGATTTGTTCCAATAAATGGTAGTTTAACTCTTGTATATTTAGACAGTAACATCATTTCTATTCCAGATTGACTTATTTGTGTTGTGTTACTGACTAAGGAAGTGTTTGGAGAGATTCTGTCTGTAATTGCTTCTACACATTACATTATAAAGAAATTGTATGCCAAATAAATAATGATGCACACCATGTTGTTAAAGACTTTGTTCATATATTTGACATAGTGGTTAAAATACTTGAGTGTGGACTTTACAAAACTTCAAAAATTAATGACAAAGATAAATATTCAGCCGAATTTCAGTTATTATATATTGCTGAAAAAACTTAAATTGACGGTAGGCAATATACAGATAGAGTTTACTCAGATATACAGTCTAGTTTATTTTAAATTGACGGTAGGCAATATACAGATGGAGTTTACTTAGATATACAGTCTAGTTTATCATGAAGCCGGGTCCCATGCATTATTATGTTAAATTTCTGCATAGTAGAGTATGAGAAGCTGATGGTTTGCTGCCTATCTTTCCCCTGCAGTATGACCTACCTTAATACAAAGTAAAGTCTTGAAGTGCCTGCCTACCTTTTGCTTCTGTTATTCTCTGAGAACGAATTGCATACTGCATTCTGACATTCAGATTGTCTTCAGGCACACTATTTGAAGAATGCTTTTTTTGCTTGTGCTAATATGCCTTTAATGTCTTCCTTCCTTCATCATATTTTGTGATTTTGCTTCTTAAATAACAGAATTCCTTCACTTCTACTGTGTCTTTCCCAATTTTGATATTTAATGGATCAATATTCTCCTTTCTGCTGCTCCTCAACTTTTGTCTTGCTTTTTTTATCCTTAAGCCCAATTGCTCACTGAGTACGGATATTGTATGAAAAGCGCACAAAATCAAAAAAATTTGAAATATTTGAATCATTTTGGAATGTGAAGTTCTTCAATCTTTTTTGTTTTGTGCGCTCTTTGGACAATTACCAGCGTTTTTGATTTTTTGAAAATTTTGAAATAAATTTTGAATGTAAAATTTTTCAATTTTTTTGTTTTGGTTTTGTGCGCTTTTTGGACAATTTGCAGCATTTTTTGGTTTTTTGAAAATTTTGAAATTTTTGAAAAATTTCCACCACCTGATGCCTTGCAGGACCGGTCTCTGTCGGACAGTTTCTGATGTACAGTGTCTCTGACGAATGCGGTGTGTGCCTGACTCGGCCTGTGCACGGACCGGTCTCTGTATGACGGGCTCTGACTTGCCTTCTCTAAAAACCCTGGTGCGGCGACAACACGTAAGGCAGAGACCGAGTC